ACAGAAGAGGGAGGAACCCTTCCAAACTCTTTACATGGCCAGTGTTACCATGACACCAAAAATAAACAGAGAAGAAAGAAAATTACAGGCCAATATCCTCGATGAACATACGTGAAAGTTCTCAACAAAATAACTAAAGAAGAAAAGTAACAGCAAACCAAATTCAACAATATGGGTATCCCCCACTTTCTGGAAGTTCGTGTTACTACACTTTACTTTTATGAACGATCTACATTACTACCTGTGTTCACTAACCGAAAGATTCCAAAGAGGAATCTTACAAAAAAAGCTGTTGCCATGCTAATATGGGTCTTTCATAAAAAACAAAGTGGCTTAATAAAAATCAAATGATCATCTCAATAGATGCTGGAAAGGCATTTGACAAAATTCAACATCCACATATGACCAAAACTCTCAACAAAAGGAGCACAGAGGAAACACAGGTCAACATAATAAAGTCTGTATGTGACACACACAAAGCTAACATCATACTCAGTGGTGAAAGCTGAAAGCTTTTCCTCTAAGATCAGGAACAAGGCAAGAACATCCGCTCTCACCACTTCTATCAACATGGTATTGGATGTCCTAGCCAGAGCAAGTAGGCAAGAAAAGAAATAAAAGGCACCCAAACTGGAAAAGAAGAAGTGAAACTGTCATTATTTACACATGTTTATGTACAGAAATGGCTATGTAGAAAACCCCAAAGACTCCACCAAAAAACCGTTAGAATAAATGAATTCAGTGAAGTTGCAGGATACAAAATCAACAGTACAGAAATCTGTTGCATTTCTATATAGTAACAACCCATCAGAAAAAGAAGTTAAGAAACAATCCCATTAAAAAAAGAAATGTCATTTACAATTGCACTGGAAAGAATAACATACCTAGGAATAAACTTAACCAAGGAGGTGAAAGACCTATACTCAGAAAACTATAAAAAAGACACTGATGAAAGAAACTGAAGATGACACAAACAAGTGGAAAGATATTCCAAGCTCCTGGACTGGAAGAATACTGTTAAAATGTCTATAGTATGTACCCAGGGCAAGCTATGATTCAGTGCAATCCCTATCAAAATTCCAATGGCATTTTTTACAGAAGTGAATAAAGAATTCTAAAATTTACATGAACTACAAAAGATCCGGAATGGTTAAAGCTACCCAGACAAAGGAGGACAAAGCTGGAGGCATCATGCGTCCTGATTTCAAACTACATCACAGTGCAACAGTAATCAAGACAGTACAGGATTGGCAGTAAAAACAGATTCAGATCAACAGAACAGAACAGAAAGCAAAGAAATAAATCAAGTATGTATGTTCAATTAACTTACAACAAAGCATGAATGAATAAAGAAAATGAACCTGGAAAAAATATATATGTATCTCCACAAAATGGAATATTATTTAACCATTAAAAAGAAAGAAAAATCCTGCCATTTGTGACAACACATATGGACCTTAAGGGCATTATGCTAAGTGAAATAAGTCAGGTTAAGACAAATACTGTATCACTTATATAGAGAATCTAAAAATTAAAATAAAGAAAAAAACAACCCAAGCCAATAAATACAGAGAACAGACTGGTGGTTGCTTGAGGTGGGGAGGTGGGGGTGGGCCAATGGGTAAAGGGAGTCAAAAAACACAAGCTTTAGTTATAACATAAGTAAGTCACGGGGATGTAATGTACAGCCCGGCAAATACAGTTAATAACACTGTACTGCATATTTAAAAGTTGCTAAGAGAGTACATCTTAGAAATTCTCATCAGAAGAAAAAAATTCTGTAACTATGTATGGTGACGGATGCTAACTAGAGTTACTGTGGTGATCCTTTTGCAATATCTACAAATATCAGATCATTATGTTGTACACCTGAAACTAATGTTAGGTGGTATGTCAATTACACCTCAATAAAAAAATGAAGGCGGAAAAAAAACCTCACCTTCATGTAAACAAAAATAAAAATGAAAAAGTAATTATTTTCTATCAGCTGTAAACAAAAGCAATATACAAATTAAGATAAAGTGGAGTTGGTATGGAAGAATGCCACATGCAGAAACAGAAAACGAGACGAGATTACTTGGGGGTAACCCTTCTATTGTAAATAAATAGAAAAGCTGGGCAAATCATCTAGGGAAAAAAGTTTGAGACTATTAAAGAGCTTCCAAGGCAGTGAGTATTTCTGGTGCCAAAATCCCAAAGAAGGGAGGCATCAAAAAAATCAAATATTGCTCCCTCCCCACTATGTGAGCATACAATGAGAAGATCATGATCTGTAAACCAGGACAGGGACTTCACGAGAATCCACCCATGCTGGTACCCTGATCTTGCACTTCTATCCTCCACAACCGTGAGAAATAAATGTTTGTTGTTTAAGCCAAAAAAACAAAAAACCCACAAAAAACAACCACCCAAATACCTAAAATAAATCTAACAAAAGATACATAAGTTCTCTGTTTAGAAAATTATAAAACATTGAGAGAAATTAGAGAACATCTATGTTAGTGGAATGACAAAGCATGCTCATGTATTATAAAAATGTCAATTCCAAGTTGATCTCTAGATTCAGTGTAAACTAAACCAAAATTCTAGCAGAGCGCACGCGCGCGTGCGTGTGTGTGTATGTGTAACCTGACAGGTTGATTCTAAAGTTTAAATGGAAGTGCAAATGGTCAAGAACAGCCAAGAAATTTCAAAGAACAAACTCAGTGGACTTCTCCTACTGGATATAAGACTTAAAAAAAAAAAAAAAAGCCTATATTGAGACAGTAAATGGTATTGGCACAAAAGTAGATCTATATAACAATGGAACAGAACATAATCCAGAGAAAGACCAAACATATATAGACACTTGACTTATGACAAAGATGTCCTTTTAGGAAAAGGACAATTATTTCAACAAATAGTACTGAGACAAATGGATATTCGTACAGGAAAAAAAATGAATCTTGACTCCTCTTCACACAATAGGCAAAAAATCCATTCCAAGTGGATTATAGATCTAAATATAAAAGGTAAAAAAAAAATAAGTCTTCTAGACGATAAGAAGGAGAATATCTTCATAATTTGGGGATAAAGATTTAACAAGATACCAGAAACACTAAGAGGAAAATGTTGATAAATTAGACTACTACTATTTAAAGTTACTTTTCTTCATCAAAGAAACCACTAAGAAAGTGAAAAAGCAAGCCATAAATACTATATGATTCCAACGATAAAAAGTTCAGAAATGGGCAAAAACTAGTCTATGGTGTTAGAGGATGGATTAGGGGTCACCTGTGGGGAGGAGGAAGAGTACTCACTGGAAAAACATGGAAGAGGTTCTGGGGTCCTGATAATCTTCTATTTCTCATCTAGGGGTTGGTGGCAAAGGTATGTTCATCTTGTGATAATTCACTGACCTGTACACTCACAAATTACTCATATTTCAGTTTGAATTGTTATACTTCAATAAAAAGGTTCCTCAAAAAATTTTGGCCTGTGGGGTGCCTGGCTGGCTCAGTCAGTAGAGCATGCGACTTTTGATCTCGGGATTGTGAGTTTGTGCCCTGGGTTGGGTGTAGAAAAATACTTAAAAAAAATAAAATCTTTCAGAAAAAAATTTGGGTGTGTACTATTAAATCTCTGACCTTTTCAAAAGATGCCTTAAGGAATGTCCCTTTTTGGTACATAAATAATTCTGGGTATACTCTTGAAATCTATCTTTCAAGCATATCATGGAAATTTCCTTGCTAGTCCAGTAAACTAACTTTTAGGGCTAACTGTCATGAATTGGGGTATCTGTTTGGGGTTGAGGTAGAGCACAGCGACCAGCTACTGTTGCCCCCCTTCCCGAATCACTTCCTACTAGGCCTTCTCCCTAGTTTACTGCATGTTAGCACAACCTGGAGAGGATATTCCGCTAACAAAACAAGACTTGTCATTTGGAAGAATCCTCCTCTGTTCGTAACTCATGCTTGTTCACACCCAAACCACTGCACTGCGCTTCTCTGACTACATTTCCAAATTCTGGCACCTGGTTGTCAGGGTAGCTAGCTAGGAAGGTATATAATACAGCAGGCACACTTCCCTACTCTTGGCCCGGTTGGCTTGATAATCCTGCCTCTAAGTTAAACAGAGTTTCCTTCAGCCTCTAGACACTGAAACCTTCGCAGTTGACCTAACACGCAATGGCAAAATGTGCTCTTAATGGCTTTCAAACCACAAGCTAGAACAACAGCATAAAAATGAGGTTTAAGGGCGCCTGGGTAGCTCCATCAGTCGGGCATCTGACTCTTGATCTCAGCTTCGTGAGTTCAGGCCCCGCGTTGGGCCCTGTGCTGGGCGTGAAGCCTACTTAAAATTCTTAAAAAATGAGGTTTAGTTCACCAGATTGGAGCCGGTTGAATTGGGGGTCCTGAGCGGCCCATGTGTTACCTGACCAGGCTCCCTCTTGCCCAGTGCTTCATACATCCTCAGGTCCACGGACCAGAAGCAAGGAGGAAGACAGCATACGTGAAGAAGCCCCAGCATGAGGATAGTCCAAAAGCTGGCGAAATGACTCCAGCCACTGACTACAAAGCTCTTGAGTGAAGAGACCACTGGCCTCATTTTGCCACATAAAAGTACCATTTTTATACTGTATCTGTTTTTAACATGTATTTCATCTCATTAAACCCGTCACCAGTCCTGGAGAACGCTGGTCCAACTGGCCCCTGTCAGGACTCCCCTGACACAAATCCTCTGGACGCTTCGGGGCAAGTGACAGTTCCAATGATTCTCTTTTGGAACTCAGGGCAGCCTGGGGCCTCGGTCCCACAGGGGCCGCTCTCAGATCTCCGGACAGAAGCCTCGCCATGTGCCAGCACCCTAGCTCATGGGTCACATTCTGCTAGTGATTCCATGGTCACTGTGGACCAGTGGTGGCAGCAAGAATCCTCAAGCAAAGTGACAGATGGGCACTGATGGGTCGCTCAGGGAGGGACACGAGGACAGTCTAACAGAGAGCTGGCAATCTTACTTACCGAGGTCTACAAAAAGATGCTTTTCTCCTACGTTATTCTTCACAACTAAAAATGATAGGTCAGGACTGCTTTGCTCAGCTGACCCCAGCCTCTCCCATTCCTTTGAATTCTGTGTCCGGCTCTCTTCTCTATCTTTATCTGAGGACATTTTGCTAAAGGAAATTCCTTGTTTAATTGGCGTTTCAGGAAAATGGGAAAATCCGTGGCCCGTGCTCTCTGAAATACTATCATCATCTTCACTGGCAATTAAGTGAAAAGCAGGCTGCAAAATTTTTCTCACAAAATTACCTAGAAGAAAAAATATTATGATTAATCTAATTCTTTTCCACAAACTGTAACTCAAGATCTAGGCACAAATCTACACATGCCAACTTTATACAGTAAGGCTTCTTTTTTTGACTTCTGGTTTCAAAACTGAGTTGTTATTACAAACTAACATACTTCTGTTATTTCCTTCCTCTTGTGCAATCTTTTATTTTTTCAATTCCCACTGACAGGGTAGCTTGGTGTCACTTATAATAAATATCATCAAAGACTCCACCAGGGGCACCTGGGTGGCTCAGTCAGTTAAGTGTCCAACTCCTAATCTCAGCTCAGGTGTTGATCTCAGGGTCGAGAGTTCAAGCCCCACATTGGGCTCCACACTGGGCATGGAGCCTACTTAAAAAAAAAAAAAATTCCACCAAAAACTGCTAGAACTAAGGCATGAATTCACAAAGTCGCAGGATATAATCAGTGTACGGAAATCAGTTGCATTTCTATACACCAATAATGAAGCAGCAGAAACAGAAATCAAGGAATCAATCTCATTTACAATTGCATCAAAAACAGTAAAATACCTAGGAACAAACCTAACTAAAGAGGTGAAAGACCTGTATTTTGAAAACTATAGAATACCTATGAGAGAAATTGAAGAGGACACAAAGAAATTGAAAAACATTTCACGGTCATGGATTGGAAGAACAAACATTGTTAAAATGTCTGTACTACCCAAAGCAATCTACATATTTAATGCAATCCCTATCAAAAGAACACCAGCACTTTTCACAGAGCTAGAACAAACAATCCTAAAATTTGTACGGAACCACAAAAGGCCCCAAATAGCCAAAGTGATCCTGAAAAAGACAACCAAAGCTGGAGGCTTCATGACTCTAGACTTCCAGCTCTATTACAAAGCTGTAGTCATTAAAACAGTATGATACTGGCACAAAAACATAGATCAATGGAGCAGAACAAAAAACCCAGAAGTGGACCCACAACTATATGGTCCACTCATCTTTGACAAAGCAGGAAAGAATATCCAACAAATGGTGCTGGGAAACTGGACAGCAACATGTAAAAGAATGAAACCAGGCCACTTCCTTACACCACACACAAAAATAAACTCAAAATGAATGAATGACCGAAATGTGAGGCAGGAAACCATCAAAATCCTAAAGAACACAGGCAGCAACCTCTGTGACCTCAGCTGTAGCAAATTCTTACTAGACACATTGCTGGAGGCAAGGAAATAAAAGTGAAAACGAACTATTGGGACTACGTCAAGATAAAAAGCTTCTGCACAGTGAAGGAAACAATCAGCAAAACTAAAAGGCAGCCTATGGAATGGGAGAAGATATTTGCAAATGACATATCCAATGAAGGGTTAGTTAGTATCCAAAGTCTATAAAGAACTTATCAAACCCAGTATCCAAAAAACAAGTAATCCAGGGGCGCCTGCGTGGCTCAGTTGGTTGAGCATCTAGCTCTTGGTTTTGGCTCAAGTCATGATCTCAGAATCCTGGGAATGAGCCCCGTGTCAGGCTCTGTGCTCAGTGGGGAGTCTGCTCGAGGATTTTCTCCCTCTGCTCCTCCCCCTAATCGCTCTCTCACTCTCAAAACAATAAATCTTTAAAAAACAAAAAGAAATAATCCAGTTAAGAAATGGGTAGATGAATAGACATTTTTCCAAAAACGATATCCAGATAGCTAAAAGACCTATGAAAAGATGCTCTACATGAGTCATCATCAGGGAAATACAAATCAAAACCACAATGAGATACCACCTCACACCAGTCAGAATGGCTAAAATTAACAAGTCAGGAAACAACAGATCTTGGCAAGGATTTGGAGAAAAGGGGACCCTCTTACACTGTTGGTGGGAATGCAAACTGGGCAGCCACTCTGGAAAACAGTATGGAGGTCCCTCAAAAAATTAAAAATAGAATACCCTGTGACTCAGCAACTGTACTACTAGGTATTTACCCAAAGGATACAAAAATGCAGATTCGAAGGGGTACATGCACCCTGATGTTTATAGCAGCATTATCAACAATAGCCAAACTATGGAAAGAGCCCAAGTGTCCACTGTCTGATGAATGGATAAAGATGTGGCACGCGCGCCATTGAAAAGAATGAAATCTTGCCATTTGCAATGAATAGATGGAGCTAGAGTATATTGTGCTAGGTGAAATAAGTCAATCAGAGAAAGACAAATACCATACGATTTCACTCATATGTGGAATTTAAGAAACAAAACAGATGAACATATGGGAAGGGGGAAAAAAAAGAGGCTGGGAAGCAAAACATAAGAGACTCTTAACAAGAGAGAACAAACTGAGGGTTGATGGAGGGAGGTGGGTGGGCAATGGGCTAAATGGGTGATGGGTGTTAAGGAGGGCACTTGTGATGAGTACTGGGTGTTGTATGTAAGTGAAGGATCAATCACTAAATTCTCCTGAAACCAATATTACACTATATGTTAACTAACTAGAATTTAAATAAAAATTTGAAAAAAAAAAAAAAAAGACAACTGCCCAGTGACTTGACCTGCAAGATTCTCTAATTACTGTTATTTTAAAACAATTTTATCTTATTCCATTGTAAAAATTAAAAATAAGTAAATAAATCATCTTAGCAAGGAAGGTTGGTTTGAGAAGATGAGTGTCAATGTTGCTAGTATGAGCCTGACCCTAACATACTGTCACCAAGAAAGCACCACTTTTATTTTTTTATTCTTATTTTTAAATATTTTATTTATTTGAGAGAGAGCAGAGCACGCGAGAGAAAGCATGAGCCGGGGTGAGGGGGCGAGAGAGAAGCAGACTCCCTGCTGAGCAGGGAGCCTGATGCCTCAGGGCTCCATCCCAGAACCCCAGATCACGACCTGAACCACCCACCCGGGTGCCCCGAGAGCACCACTTTTATCAATATAAATTGAGTAGAACTTATCTTGACAATTAATGGGTTAAAGAATGAAAGGTTTATATGCATCAAGAGTGCTGCCGAGATAATGCACATTAACACTTGAGTCAGAATGTCAGCAAAGTTCTGCAGAGCTGCTTCTCGCTCCTTTGCCTGTCAGAATACGCCCTGGGCGCCCTGACATTCACAGCCATCACCTCCACAACTGTTGTTCCTCGTGCCTCACCCTCTCATCGGTCACCAGATGGGCTGTGGCATCATAAGTGAAGCCCAGATGGCAAGCAATTAAATACATGTACTGTATTTCAACACTTACTCTAAGAGCTCTAACTACTAGAGGTCCTGTCTTTACCAAGAAAAGAAGATACGACAATCCAGAACTTCTTTAACTCTCATATATTACTTATACCATAAAATCAAGCGAGAATTTGGTTAAGTTGCTTCATATAGAACAATACTGGAGAAACGCCGTGTTGTCAGAGAAACTTGATTTTAATTTCTAAAACTGCTATTGTCTGGGTTTGTCACTTTATTTACCAGACAGCTTAAACTTTTAAATAGAGATGCTCTAAATTCAAAATTCTCTCTCTCCAAATTAATTACTCTCTGCTCAACGAAACAAACCCAGTAGCTCATAAAACACGATACATCAAAATGAAAGCAAAAGCATGTGATCCTTGCAGGGATATACAGGCATGATTAAATCTGGAATGAGGGAACTGAGGGTAAATACTGAGTAAAAAGAAATCATGACGTAGCGCAGGACAACAAAGCAATACGAACATAAATTGATAAGGTTAATGTTTCCGGAAATGTAAAATCACATCTACTTGACTGGAGGCCGTGCGAGAAGTGAAGGCAGGGCTGCAGAACCACTTGGGAAGGTAGCCATTGCGCTCAGCAGGCCAGGGGGGCCTCTAACCTTTGGCAGGGAGCTGACTTAGCCAGGACACAACAATGACAGTTTCAGCAGCATGAAGTCCAACATAGGCTTCCAGTAAACTCTGCTTTCTACTTCCCTCCCCCATTCTTAACAGGCTCGTCCTCATCATTAATGTGGGGACAGGCATTTCACTGGCTGCAGATAACTCAAAAGAATCTGTCAATCCTAGGAATTTCAGGTCCTCCTACAGGCTGGCAAAGGTGTATTTTAGGCAGATCAAATTTCACTTTTTGCAAACATTCTCTGATCGCTTACGCTTACTCTAATTCTACTTTCTGGAAGGCTGACAATGGGCGCTAGAAGTGTCACCAAGACATACATGGAGGGACGGAAACTGAAGGGGAAATCTTGGACTAATTCTGTCATCTCCCGGTCCTGGCGGTTCCTAATTCTGGAGGAAGGAAGTTTCGGCCACCCTCTGCCCCCGCACCCCCAGGTTAGCCTCACACTTCTGTCTCCATACTTCTGTGTACGCTGTCCTGCCAGTAAAGCCTTTCTGACTTTGTTTCTGCGAGGGAACCGGATTCAAAGCCAGCTTGAACGTCATCTGCTTTCAGAAGACATCTGCAGCAGAGACTGCCAATTACCTGACACACTGCTACTCTCCCATCTTCCCAAACAACCAATCTCAAGGTTTAGCCTTGCGGCCAAGGAGCCGTAGAGCAGACTACGAGGAGTGAACAGAATCAAAGAAATATCTTGCTTAAAACTCCGAAGAGTGGAGAGCCTGGTGCTAGAGCCCACTTAGCAGTCTTCGATTCAGCGCGTCCTTATCAAATGCCTGCTTGCATTGTACGGCTCCTGCAGTCTGCGCCATCACTAATACTATTGATGAAGATACCATTACGTAGTACCAAGCATTGGAAATGAAAAGTGAGTAAGAAACTGTCCCTGCCTAAAACATTAAGTAGCACGGAAATAAAGAAGCCAAAACAACAACACAGAAAACTACCTCAGCAAGAGCCGAATGCTTGGACGCGAGAAGCCATGGGCTCTCCGCAACCCAGACAACACGCTGCCCTGGGTCTCAGGGTTCGGGACGTGACAGAAATGGCTTCTCATTTGACGATATCTACACTGAGTCTCCACAGGCCAGGTACTTGGAGTGTGTCTTTTCAGACAGCAGCAACAAAAAGTACAAAGGCCCACGGACAAGAGAAAATGTGGCCCCGCAGGAGCTAAGTAAAGGACAGAGGGAGAAGGCCTATTTTGTACCAGGACTGGCCCTTGTGGCTCTCATTATGACTGCAAGAGGCCCCTCAGTAACAACCATCAGGAAACTTGGGGAAAAAATAGAGGTTTGTTACTTGTAAGACCTGAAAATTACACTGCATACCTGGGGCCACACAGCAAGCTCTCGGGTAGGGAGCGCATACACGGGCAGGGGGTTCTGCTTGTATTGGGGTTGAGGGTGGAGTCCTAGGGTTTCCTGGGCTCACCCCTTATTGGTGAATTTAAAACATAAGAACAGGAATTTAGGGGCGCCTGGGTGGCTCAGTCATTAAGCGTCTGCCTCTGGCTCAGGTCACGATCCCGGGGTCCTGCTTGGCGGGAGGCCTGCTTCTCCCTCTCCCACTCCCCCTGCTTGTGTTCCTTCTCTCACTGTCTCTCTCTGTCAAATAAATAAATAAAATCTTTAAAAAAAAAAAAAAAGAACAGGAATTTAAAGCAAGGAAGCCAAAACAAGAGGCCCAAAAGGTCAGTTATCAATCAAGATTTCTGAATCTAAAGAGCCTCAGTGGGTAGTGTGTGGCTGACGGTGTTTATTGAGATAGCTGTCTTTGAAAGGGATGCCTCAGCAATCAAAGCTTAAGTCAGGCGCTTGCATTACAACAAAACAGAACACTGTCAAGGTTTACACTACAAGCATCAGGTGGTGAGAGAGGAGGCTGGTGGACCTCTGCGGGCCTCTGTACAAACTAAGACATTTGGAATTTTCCTGAAGGCAGTGAGCAATCCCTGAAGGGTGTGAGGCACATTAGTGGTGTAATCAGATCACTCCAGCCAGCTGACTAAATAAATAAATAAGCTGAGAGAAAATAGAGCTCAGAGATGACACCAACATTTCCACTTGGGTAGTTGGGTAGATGATGGATACTACTCACTGATATACATATCACAGGAGAAAGGGCAAGGTTAGGGGGAAAATGAGGCATCTGGTCTAGGAATGCTGAGTTTGAAGTATCTGTGTGGGAACGTTTAATAGGCAGTTGGCTGTATGGGTCAAGGAGGGCAATCTTGGCTGAAGACGAAGACTTAAGGCTTTGATTACCATCTATGTGTTGATGACTTGAGAGTGGATGATAATCAAGGTTATGGATAGAGTGAACAGAGGGACAAGGATAGATTCTACAATTATCAATATCTAAGGGATGAAAGAAAGATGGAAGGAATATCCAACTATACAACACAAAATAGGGAGATTAATAGGAGCCCCTCATACACAGCAAACTGGGTCACTGCGACCTAGCATTACTCTAATTTAGTAATTAGGTTCCTGACTTCTATGCCAGTCCTTTTGCGACCATGTTCATGCCTTTTCCCCTAGGTACCCCTGAAACTATCAAACAAATGTAGTTCTGAAATGAATTACCTATCACGGGAACTTCAGTTAATCATCTGCCATTTAGACCTAGAAATACTCTGCTCTACTGCTGCTTTGATAAACACTCAGGCTTTGGGCTTCTGTTTAGACCTTGATTTTCAGCGTTTCCATTCCACCTACTTGTTGCCCCTCAGACTGACTTCATTTTATACCTGGGCCTGCATCTCTCAATGTCCAGTTCCAGACAAACACTCTGATTACACTCTCAGGCTTACATATGCAGACATTTTCCCAGTCCTGAGGTTCGGCCTGGAGCAATAAACAATAAAAAAGCCTCTCCAGATGTGGTTTGGAGCCCAAGCCCCAGTCCTCATGGACTAAAGGCTAAGGCTAAGGCAAGGCTGAAGTGAAGGACAGAAATACAGCTCTGAGGCATCACAGATGAGACTTGAATTAGGCCTCTCGTGCAAAAAGACTTCTAAAAAGACTCCTGTTGGGGCAGAAACCAGTACTAGGCAATGCATGGCCATCTCAAAATCTCTAGCAAGAGTCGCTAATGCCAAGGACCTCCTGAGTAGTTAATGTATCTAAAATGTGTCTAGAAGAGGAAGGTAGGTCTAGAACTAAAGGCAAATCCTGAAGATGTGAAAAATCACATCTCATTATTTAGGACAGGTTAATAACCATAAAACCTGACAAATACTTACAAAGGTTTAAGAGGAACAGGAAAATACGAGGATTTTAACAGAATTCCATGACTTTTTAAAAAACAGTATACTTACCAACATGAATGTTATCTTTAAATGCCACATCATGGAGCTGAAATATTAGATGGCGGCTAAATTTTTCATCAGTGCTGGAATCCAAGTTGAAAACATCTTCGGCTGAACAGTTAACCCTGTATAGCTCTTGAAGTGCTTTACAAACATGCTAAAAACACAGGTAAAATATAAGTAATTAATATTTCAAAAAAAATTTTCCATGAGAAAATTCAAATATCTTGGTACAACTCCAACTCATTTTTTATTTTATTATCTGAATATTTACTATGTGACAACTTCACCAAATTACTGATGTATAGAAATAGACATATTTAAATTATCATACATGTTCAAAAAGTCCTAGGCTCTCAGGAGTAAAGGACTTCCTAAAATTCTAACAGTTTAGCTTATACATTAATCTCTTCTAAAATCACAATAAATATATTTCTTTTTAAGCACAATAAGTATATTTCTTTTTAAGCATCTCTTTAAATATCATCTGTGAGTTAAAAAGTCACGATTCCATTTTTCATAGTTTTAATTTTCGGAAGGTTCCTCACACACTGAACCGAAGTCCACCTCCAAGAATACTGGGGCTGGACGCTGCTGACAGCAAAGGCAGTTACCCGTTGTAAGAAGGCAGCAAGCACAGGGATAGGAGCACAGGATGTGAAATCAGAAAGATCTAGTTTGAGTACTGGCTTTGCCACTAACCAGCTCTGTGACTTTGGTCAAGTCCAAACCTTACATTCCTCCATCGCAAAATGGGATAATAACTGGACCTAACTTCTGGTACTGTTGTTAGGAGTAAATGACAAGATGATAGTAAAGAGTGAGCACAGTGCTTGGCATATGCACCTGCTTAAAAGCATTAGCTGTGCAGCCACTAAAGAAGTCACTTCTGAAACCTCAGTCTTCCCACTTGCAAAAGGAAGTTACTAAGAAGTACCATATGTGGTTATCTTGACATTAGCAAAATGCTTATAAACTGCCAAGCATTTAGATACCTAACAGTTATATAATATAATAACTTGTATTTATTCATGTCATTTTTACATTATTAGAGCAACCCCTCCCACGCTCTCTGTATTCTTTAGTAAGTTCTCATTTCCTCAGAGGCCTCCTCAATTTCCCTCTCTACATCAACTCCCCCTTCATACTCTGTCCCCAGTTACAGTACTTACACAACTACAATTTTATGTTCATTTGTGTGATTATTTTGACTTCGGTTTCCTCTCCATTACAGAGGCTATCCCTCACTACCCGTTCTCGCCTGCTTCTGTGGAGGTAGAATGCTGATTACCTGGATACAAGGCCATCCAGAATAAAGACCACACTTCCCAGACTCCCTGGCAGTAACGTGTGGCCACAAGACTACGTTCAGGCCAATGGGATGTGAACAGAAGGAAAGCAGGTGACTTCTCAGTTATACTCTTCTAGGGGAGAGGCATGCCCGTCCCTTTACCATGTACTACTGACTGGAAAGCAGATATTGTGATAGTGAGCCATTTGGACAATGTACATAAAGGCAACACCTCAGGAAATAACAAAGCAACCAAGCCTAGTCTCTAATGTAATGGAGCATACCCAGACATTACATGAGGGAGAAAAAAATCTCTATCTTGTTTAAGTCACTTTTTTTTTTATTATGGTAACTAAGCCTATCCTAATTTGTTATCCTCCCATCGACTATAAATTCTATGAAGGCAGAAGCTAGGTCTCTGTGGGCTAAACCATGGTCTCCCGAGTGCCTAGACACACCGACACTTACTAGAGGCTGAAACATTTTGATAAATGAATAAAGTCTAGTTTTATACTTCGGAGCTATACAGAATAAATGTAGTGACTCTGCAGGTTAAGCAAACAAACGAAAAGCAACCCTAATCATTTAAGTTAACTTTCCCAAGTTAAACTTCAAATAAAAATTTAAGACATTTAAATATTAAAACTACAAAATCCACAAGTTAAAAATATGATTATTTGAGCAATGTTGCCTGTCAGTATAGTTTTACAAATGCACTAGCACCAGAGTCCATTCCATTTGGCAGAAGGGGCTTACTAAAATTTGTCAGTTAAGTCATTGACTCAAAGGATGATATGTTATCACTAGCTATTATTAGTCAGTTACTTCTTAACCATCTGTTAAGAGTTAATCTAATTTATGTGCCTCTTCACATGGAGACTCAAAAGGAAAAGTACTTACTGGGTTACACACTTGTTATACAAAGTAACCAATAAATGAAATTAATCTCCATGAAAATATGTATGAAGATTATATTATCTAAAATAATCCCGGGGCACCTGGGTGACACAGTTAAGCATCCCACTCTTGGTTTAGCTCAGGTCTGATTTCAAGGTCATGGGATGGAGCACTCAGCTCTGCTTAAGATTCCCTCTCCCGTTGCCCCTCCCCCTGCTATACCCAGCAGGTAAACCCAGTTGTGTAGAGATTGCTAAAAAAGACCACCACTAGGTAAAGCAATCTTAAGAAAAAAGAACAGAGCTGGAGGTATCACACTTCCAGGTTTCAAACTATAATACAAAGCTATAGTAATCAAAACAGTATGGTACTGACACAAAAGTACACACATAAATCAATGAAACAGAACAGAGCGCCCAGAAATAAACCCACAATTAAGTGGTCGGTTATTCAATGACAAAGAAGGAAAGAATATACAATGGATAAAAGACAGTGTCTTTAATAACTAGTGCTGGGAAAACTGAACAGCTACATGCAAAAGAATTCACTTTCATACATCATATATAAAAATAAACTCAAAATGGGTTAAAGACCTAAACTGAAGACCTGAAACCATAAAACTCCTTGAAGAAAACAGACTGCAAGAATCTTTGGATATTTGTCTTAGCATTATTTTTTTTTATCTGTCTCCTCAGGTAAGGGTAACAAAAGCAAAAATAAACAACTGGGACTACATCAAACTAAAAAGCTTTTGCACAGTGAAGGAAGCCATCAACAAAACAAAAAGACAATCTACTGAATGGGAGAAGATATTTACAAATGATATATCTGATAAGGGATTAGTATCCAAAATATATAAAGAACTCCTACAACTCAACACCAAAAAAACCAATCTGACTTTTAAAATGTGCAGAGGACTAGAACAGACCTTTTTCCAAAGAAGACATACAGATGGCCAAGAGACAAATGAAGAAATGCTCAACATCACTAATCATCAGGGAAATGCAAATGAAAACCACAATGAGGTATTACCTCACACAAGCCAGAATGGCTAGTATCAAAAAGACAAGAAATAACAAGTGTTGGCAAGGATGTAGAGAAAAGGGAACCTTTGTGCACTGTTGGTGGGAATGTAAATTGGTGCAGCCTCTATGGAAAACGGTATGGAGATTTCTCAAAAAGTGAAAAATAGAACTACCAAACGGTCCACCAATTCCATTCCCAGGGATTTACCCAAAGAAAACAACAGCACTAATTCAAAGAGACACATGCATTCCTATGTTCATTGTAGCATTATTTCCAATAGTCAAGATACAGAAGACACCTGCATCCACTGATAGAGGAATGGAAAAAGAAGATGTGGTATATATACACAATAAAATTACTCAGCCATGAAAAAAGAATGACACTTTGCCATTTGCCAGCACCGGTATTATGCTAAGTGAAGTCAGACAGGGAAAGTCAAATATCACATGGTTTCACTTATCTGTGTAATCTAAAAAATAAAACAAACAAGACAAACCAAAACAGACTCAAAAATACAGAGAACAAGCTGCAGATGCCAGAGTGGAGGAAGTAGGAGTATGGGCAAAATAGGTGAAGCAGATTAAGAGACAGAAACTTGCGTTATAAAATACATAAATTACAAGGATGTATGCACAATAATATAGGGAATATAGTCATTAATATTATAAGCTTATATGGTGACAAATGGAAACTAGACTTAACATGGTGAATCTTATATAATGTATATAAATGTTAAATCACTATGTTAATATACCCTTAAAACTAGTAAAATATTAGATGTCAACTATACTTCATAATAAATAAATAAACCTAGGGGCGCCTGGGTGGCTCAGTTGTTAAGCGTCTGCCTTCGGCTCGGGTCATGATCTCAGGGTCCTGGGATCGAGCCCCGTATGGGGCTCCCTGCTCAGCAGGAAACCTGCTTCTCCTTCTCCCACTCCCACTACTTGTGTTCCTGCTCTCGTTATCTCTCTCTCGCTGTCAAATAAATAAATAAATAAGTAAATAAAATATTTTAAATAAATAAATAAACCTAAGTAAGGGAAGGGGGAAGCCAAGAGAAAGCTAACATTACATGACTTTTTAAAAGTATTTGCATACATTTTTCAAAAAATTTTTAAAAAAAGAGTGATTCAACATAATCAGCAGATACTCTTCATCAAAAACATTTTAAGATATATTTTTAAAGTTATAAAATGTGTCATCTATAGTTAACATCTAAAAGAAAAAAATTAAGGGGCGCCTCAATGGCTCGGTCAGGTGGGCATACGACTCTTGATTTTGGCACGCATATGCACTCTCTCTAAAAAAAAAAAAGAAAAAAAATTAAGGGTGCCTGGGCGGCTCAGTTGGGTTAGGCATCTAACTTTTGATTTCAGCCCAGGTCATGATCTCCAGGTCATGGGATCAAGGCCCATGTCGGGCTCCGTGCTCAGCGTGGTCTGCTTGGGATTCTCTCTCTCCCTCTGCCCCTCCCCTGGCTTGCTCACTCTCTCTCAAAATAATAAATAAAATAAAATAAAAACTTTAAAAAATTTTAAAAGGGAAAAAAGAAAAATTAACCGATAAATGTTAATACCTACTTCGAGCCCAAGAGCCAATATAAGTTTAATAAAACTTAATGTAATAAAATCTTAAAAGATTTTATAAACAAATATTAACAGACTTTAGTTGAACAAGCCCATATTATCCCTTTTGTTAGTAACTTTCTGGTTGACACTGCTAAATCAAAAACATATACTAGAATTACAGTCTTTTCTCTTTGTTAAAAAAAACAATAACTGTATTTCTAGATCATGTTTTACCAATACTATTGGACCTGAAATAGGAGTTAAGTTTTTCTAGACCGTAGTCTCCTCATTTATGATGGTGTAAGACAGAATAATTTCCAAAATTCCTTCCAGGACAAAAATTAGGACACAATTTTTAATCAAAGTTTTCTTGAAATTCATCTCAGTAACCAATTTTTACAGTAAAAATTACTTTGCCTAACTTTTACCAGAGTCAGCTACTTGTAATAGAGAGTTAATATATAATTTAAAAACAAAGTTTCCAAACTGCTACCTTTCTCAAGTCCATTTTTAATAGATATACTAATATTACAATATATATGGACCTAAACTGAACCTCTGACCATTTTAGAAGTTTACTCAGAGAAGTCATATTATGAAACGAAAAGTCAAAAGGAAGAGAAGAAAAAGGTGGTGAAACACAGAACCCAAATATTACATAGGTTGGACTCAATGAATGAATGAATAAGTGAATGAAGAGATATACAGATATAAGGAGAAAAACCTGAGTTTGTAACTTACCTCAATGAGTAATGCAACCATCTTTTTCCCATCAGCTTCTGGATTGGCAAGTTTGTTAAATTCCAAATCAAAATAAAGCTTGCACACAGCATTTTCAGGAATGACTTCATAGCAGTGTAAGAGATTTTTTCTGAATTGAATAATGCAAGATTGTTAGGTTTACATCTTATACCTTTTTAAAATCATGGCAGTTGATCTTGTATCTCAAGATACTGCATTAACTGTGATTGAATGACTTATAACTACGGCATAATGAAGACATGGCAAAATGAACAACTGCTCTCTGTGGGTTTAGGGATCATATTATTAAGAGCTCCATCAAAGAAGATGTAACAATCATATTCTGTAACAGTATTTAATTTGAAAATATGGTCAACCTCACGCTGTTATTTATTCACAGAATTCTGACATTGTATGACCTTTCTTTTTTCTTGGTGTCATTATAGAAAGAATCTTGTCTGAGAAAAGAACTTTCTTTCTCAAACCAAAATCTCAGGATCTACACATGTATTCTTGGGATTTGATAAATGAGAATTTTTAAAGTTTTGTATTTTCATTAAGAAAACAGTATTTTAAAAATTGGCTAAAAACATATTCTGAATCACCTGACTTCAAAGAGCTTTCAATGCTCACATGTGGATCAAGAGATAAGACTTTAACATGGGTTAATAAAAATACATACTGCTTCGGTATGTAAATGATGACCCGTGCTAAGTGAATTCCAGATGGCATCCTACAGAAGTAAAAGGTTTGTAATCTGAACAAGAGGTGATGGGGGATTGAGTCATCACATGCGTAGGAACTCAAAACACACACACAATTGCACACTTTTCTCCCGGCACCAGGTAAGATCATGCAGTGTTCCATGACAAGGAAGCTCCAGAATTCAATTCTACTATTAAAGGAATAACCAAATGGGGGATGGAGATCTACAACAGTTAATTCAGCCAGAATTAATTTCACAAACATTACTAGATGAAGGAAATGTAACTTTAATGTGTTGTCCTTTACAGACTTACCGGGATTTATAATAAAACCAAAGTTGAGCATAGGTTGTCACCAGGTAAATACGTCGTCCATCGCCCACTTTGTATTCCAAAGCAAATACATGAACATCCTTTAGAAGATCAAAAAATTAATAAGGCACAAATCCAAAATCAACTGTAGCTATGCAATGTTCATGAAGAATTTTATCAAATTTTGGAAAAGTGGAATTTGAACATCTTTATTACTAAAAAATGAAATACAATTATTACATCTATGCCAATTAAAATCTAATTATATTTATTTTTATTCACTCAAGTAATACGTGCTCAAGGCAGAAACAATTCAAATATCCAGATCAAAAAGAGAAAAAAAAAGGAGAAAAATCACTTTTCAATCACTCCAGCTTGACTTCCTATTATAGCTTCACTTTCTAGTTTATGAAATTGAACTATTTCTTTTAAAGATGTATTCATTTTAAAGAGAGAGAGAGAGCTCACGTGCATCACAGGGAGGGGCAGAGGGATAGAGACTCTCAAGCAGACTCTGCGCTAAGTGCAATTTTCCCTCCTCCTCATTTCATCCTTAAAAATTTCATACTCCACTCATTCGTTTCCTCATATTTCTGTGGGTATTGTTGTACTTCTCCACTTAAATCTAGTCATTCTATTATTTTTCAGTCCATGGTCATTCTTCCTCTAAGCATAGCTTCTTTTATTTATTTTTTTTTAAGTTTTTTTTTTTTTTTTTTAATTTATTTATTTGACAGAGAGAGAGAGCACAAGCAGGGGGAGCAGGAGAGGGAGAAACAGACTCCCCGCTGAGCAGGGAGCCCTCCATGGAGCTCAATCCCAGGACCCTGGGATCATGACCTGAGCCAAAGGCAGACGCTTAATTGCTGAGCCACCCAGGCGCCCCAGCACAGCTTCTTTTAAATGTCATTATGTGTTCCCTCTCTCGCTGTGTCTCTCTCTGTCAAATAAATAAAATCTTTAATAAATAAACAAATAAATGTCATCATGTGAGAGTAGGACAAATAGGCTGAGTAGGAGGATGCTGAGCTCACCTCCCATGGACACACTGAGGTAACCACCACAAGTAAAGCAACTTGCTCTGAAAACAGTCAGAGACCAGCAGAACAGATCTTCCACAGCTAAAGATGTAAAATCAGGGCAACATCAAGAAGGGTAGGAGGGGGTAAAACAAAAATAGGAACCAAAACCTGGTACGGAGAACCACAAGCAGGACGGTTAGCACAGGTGTAGAAGTCCTCCCTGAGGAGGAAGAGGATCAAGCCCCACATCAGGCACCCCCAGGCCTGGGGACCTACAGCAAGAGAACTGAGAACAAGTCCCCATTCCCTAGTATGTCTGGTTGTTGAAAATCACCAGGACTTAACTCTCAGACAGACCCCACTGTTCCAGGGCCAACACACTGTATTACTCGGTCCAAGACCCAGCACACAGAAGCAGCAGTTTGAAAAGCAACTGGATTATATACAGGAAGATTTATTGACTAATTTTAAGACCAGTGCCAGAGGAACCAAGATAGGGGTAGGAGCTCCCTCGGGAGACGAAAGCGCTAGTGGGTGGCATTTTTCTTGCCCTCCTTTGCCTAGCTGGCCCGACAATGGTGGGAGCCAGTCCTGACTCTGTCTGCCTGCCCCATTTCAGTGCTCCCCAGGCGACTGACCCCATCTAACCTGCCTGCCCTGACAGGCACTCATCCAGCATGGCTCTTGCCTCACCATAGCTGGCAGACAGCCTCGGCTGGGACCAGCACCCCCAAAAAGCAACACCAACCTGGCCACACCCAGCAGACAGCCCCGGCTGGTACTGGCACCCCCCAAAGCGAGTCCTGCCCCAGGCAGGTGAGGAGCCGCGGTGGCTGCGGCCAGTCCTCTCAGCCAGAGGCCTCAGGTTCTAGCCCGCCACGCCACGCACCTGCAGCAGCGCCAGCCAGGCCTCAGGGCCGACAGCACTGGGGACCAGCTCTTCCCACCCGTGTGCCCACGTAGTCACAGCCAGTTATTAGAGTCTGCTGACCTGGGGGCCAGGACTGTCCAGCAGGGCGCCCAGAGGAGCCACGGCCACAGTCATTGCTGACGGACAAGGAAGGCTGAGGACCAGGCCCAGCAACCTGGGCACAAGCAGCCGCCGCAGCCTGGGCATGACAGGAGGTCACATGCAGTCACAAGGGGACACCCCCACAGCGACTGGTTCCTGTGACCGGCGGGGGTTGTGCTTCTGGGCCCCCAGGACACCTGTCACATAAAGCTACTACTCTGAAGACCAGGAGACAGAGCTGACCTACCTAATACATAAAAACAAAAACACAGAAAGTCGGACAAAATAAGGAGACAGAGGACTATGTTTACAACAAAAGAATAAGACAAAACCTTGGAAAAAGAAATGGTGATAAGCAATCTACCTGACAGACAGTTCAAAATAATGGTCATAAAGATGCTTACCAGACTTGAAAGAAGAGTGGATGTACTTTGAGAACTTCAACAAAGAAATAAGAGATATAAAAGAGAAGGAATCAGAGCTGAAGAATACAGTAACTGAAATGAAAAATACACTAGAGGAAATCAGAGCAGATTAGAGGATGCAGATTTTGGAAAGCATCCAAGCTGAACACTGAAAAGAAAAGGAAATGAATAAAATAACCATAGGTTAAGGAACCTCTGGGACAACATCAAGTGCACTAACAATCACATTATAGGAGCCCCAGAAGGAGAAAAGATAAAGAGGCAGAAAACTTACTTGAAGCAATAATAGCCTAAAACTTCCCTGACCTGGGGAAGGAAAAATATAACAACTCCAAGAAGCACAGAGAGCCCAAACAAGATGAACCCAAGGAGGTACACACCAAGACACATGATAACTAAATGTCAAAATAAAAAGATAGAGACTCTTCAAAGCAGTAAGAGAAAAGCAACTAGTTACATACAAGGGAACACCCATAGATTGTAAGCTGATTTTTTCAGCAAAAACGAGGCAGGTCAGAAGGGGGTGGCATGATATATTTCAAGTGCTGAAAAGAAATAAACCTATGTCCAAGAATACTCTACCCAACAAGATTACCATTCAGAATTGAAGGAGAGATAAAGAGTTTACAGATAAAATTTAGAAGAATTCTTCATGACTAAATTGGCTTTCCAACAAATTTTAAAAGGACTTCTTAACGTGGAAAAGAAAAGAACATAACTAGAAGAAAATTATGAAAGGAAAAAATTTCACTTATCAAAGAAAACATATAGTAAAAATAGATCAATCACTTATAAAGCAAGTATGAAAGTTAAAGGACAATAGTAGTAAAATATCTACAAAAATTAGTTAAGGGATACATAAAACAAATAGATGTAAAATATGGCATCATACACTTAAACACAGAGATGGGAAGTAAAAATGTAGCACTTTTAGAACGTGTTGGAACATCAGCAACCACCAAATTTATAGACTGCTATATACGTAAGATATTATACATGAACCTCGTGGTAACTATACGCCAAAAACCTGTAACAGATACACAGAAAATAAAGAGGGAGGAATCCAGGTATAACACTAAAGAAAGTCATCAATCACAAGGAAAGATAGCAAGAAGGAAAAAACGAGAACTACAGGGGCGCCTGGGTGGCTCAGTTGGTTAAGCAACTGCCTTCTGCTCAGGTCATGATCCTGGAGTCCCTGGATCGAGTCCCGCATTGGGCTCCCTGCTCGGCAGGGAGTCTGCTTCTCCCTCTGACCCTCCTCCCTCTCATGCTCTCTGTCTCTCATTCTCTCTCTCTCAAATAAATAAATAAAATCTTTAAAAAAAAAAAAAAAAAAAAAAAAAAAAAAAAAAAAAAACGAGAACTACAAAACCAGAAAACAACTAACAAAATGGCAATAGGTACATATCTATCAATAATCACTTTTAAACGGACTAAGTGGACTAAATGCTCCAGTCAAATGACAAAGCATGACTAAATGGAAAAAAAACCAACCCCATCTATATGCTGCCCACAAGAGACTTCAGACTGAAAGACATATAGACTGAAAAAGAAGGGATAAGATATTCCATGCAAATGAATGGAAAAAAGATATTCCAAGCAAATGAAAATGAAAAAAAAAAAAAAAGGCAGTACTTATATCAGACAAATTAGACTTAAACACTATAAAAAGAGACAAAGAAAGGCATGACATAGGGGCTCCTGGGTGGCTCAGTCGGTTGAGCATCCAACACTTGGTTTCGGCTCAGGTCATGATCTCAGGGTCCTGGGATTGAGCCCCTTGTCCGACTCTGCACTCAGCAGGGAGTCTGCTTGAGATGCTCTCCCTCTGCCCCTCCCCCACCTGCATGCGCTCTCTAATAAATAAATAAATCTTAAAAAAAAAAAAAGAATAGCATGACATAATGATGAAGGGATCAATCTAACAAGAGGATACAACAATTATAAATGTCTATGCACCCAACATAGGAGCACCTAAATATATAAAGCAAGTATTAATAGACAAAGAGGGAGAAAGTGACAGTAATACAATAATAGTAGGGTAATTTAACACCCCACTTACATCAATGGATAGATCATCCATACAGAAAATCAATAAAGTAACACTGGCTTTGAATGACACGAGACCGTATGCATTTAAAAGATATATACAAAACATTTCATCCCCAAAAGAAGAAAACATATTCTTAAAGTGCACATGGAACATTCTCCAGGATAGATCATATGTTAGGCCACCAAACAAGTCTCAATAAATTTAAAAGGACTAAAATCCTATCAAGCATCTGTTCCAACAATATGAAACTAGAAATCAATTACAAGAAAAAAACTGTAAATAACACAAACACATGGAGAATAAACAACATGTTACTAAACAATGCATCAATGGGGTCAATGGAGTCAATGGGGAAATTCAAGAGGAAATAAAAAAAATACCTGGACACAAGAGAAAATGGAAACACAATGGTTCAAAATCTATGGAACACAGCAAAAGCAGTTCTAAGAGGGAAATTTATAGCAATACAGTCCTACTTCAAGAAATAAGAAAAATCTCAAAAAAGCAATCTAAACTTACACCTAAAGGAACTAGCAAAACAAGAACAAAGCCCAAAATTAGAAGGAAGGAAATAATAAAGATCAGAGTGGAAATAAATGAAATAGAGACTAAAAAGATAATAGAAAAACTCAATGGAATTAAGAGCTGCTTCTTTGAAAAGATAAACAAAATTAATATAGCCAGACTCACCAAGAATAAAAAAGACTCAAAAATAAAATCAGAAATAAAAGAGAAGTTACAACTGACACCACAAAAATACAAAGGTTTATAAGAGACTACTACAAGAAAATATATGCCAACAAATTAGACAACCTAGAAGAAATGGATAAAGACTGAATCAGGAAGAAACAGAGTATCTGTACAGATGGATTACTAGTAATGAAAGTGAATCAATAATCAAAAAATTCCCAAAAAACAAAAGTCCAGGACCAGATGGCTACACAGGTGAATTCTACCAAACATTTAATAAAGAGTTCTCAAGCTATTCCAAAATATACAAGAGAAAGGAATTTTTTTTCTTTTTTTAGGAATGCTTCTGAATTTGTTCCACAAGGCCACCAGCATTACCCTCAAACCAAACCGGACAAAGATGCTACAACAAAAAAAAGGAAATTACAGACCATTATCCCTGATGAGCACAGATGTAAAAATCTTCGACAAAATATTAGCAAACCTAACACAATACTTTAAAAGGATCATTCACCATGATCAAATAGGGTTTATTCCAGGGACACAAGAATGGTTCAATATCCACAAATCAACATATACAACACTTTAATAAAATGAAGGATAAAGATCAGATGACTACCTCAATAGATGCAGAAAAAGCATTTGACCAAATTTAACATCATGATAAAACTATCAACAAAGTGAATATAGAGGGAACACAACATAAAAAGACCATAAATGACTAACCCACAGCCAACATCATACCCAGTAATGAAAAGCTGAAAGCTTTTCCTCCAAGATGAGGAAAAGATAAGATGCCCATTCTTCCCACTTCTACTCAATATAGTAGTAGAAATCCTAACCACAGCAATCAGACAAGAAAAAGAAGGGGAAAAAAAGGCATCCAAATTGGTAAGGAAGAAGTAAAACATACAGATGGCCAACAGACACATGAAGAAATGCTCAATATCACTAATCATCAGGGACACGCAAATCAAATCAAATCAAATCAAATGAGATACCACCTCACACCAGTCAGAATGGCTGGTATCAAAAAGACAAGAAATAGGGGCACCTGGGTGGCTCAGTTGGTTAAGCATCTGACTCTTGATTTCAGCTCAGGTCATGATCTCAGGGTCCTGGGATGGAGCTCTGAGTCAGGCTCAGCATTCAGTGGGGAAGTCTGCTTGAGGATTCTCTCTCTCCCTCTCTCTTTACCCCTCCCCCACCCTGCTCTCTCTAAAATAAATCAATCAATCTAAAAAAAAAAAAAGGACAAGAAATAACAATGCTGGTAAGGATTTGGAAAAAAGGGAACACTTATGCACCACTGGTGGGAATGTAAGTTGGTGCAGCCATTATGGAAAGCAGAACGGAGGTTCCTCAAAAAAAATTAAAAATCGAACTACCATACAATCCAGTAATTCCAATAATTCAGTATTTACCTGAAGAAAATGAAACCACTAATTCAAAAAAGTATATGTCCTATGTTTATTTGTAATAGCCAAGTTATGAAAGATACCTAAGTGTCCATTGATAAATAAAGATAAAGAAGATGCAGTATATATACACAAAAGATTATTACTCAGCCATAAAAAAAATGACGTCTTCCTGTTCACAACAACATGGATGGACCTAAAGGATATTATGCTAAGTGAAATAAGTTAGAGAAAAACAAAAATCATGATTTCATTTATATGTGGAATCTAAAAACAAAACAAACCTGAAATAGACTCATAAATACAGAGAACAAACTGGTGGTTGCCTGAGCAAAAGGGGATGGAGAGACAGGAGAAATAGGTGAAGGGGATTAAGAAGTATAATCTTCCAGTTATAAAATAAATAAGTCATGATGATGAAAAGTATGGCATAGAGAATATAGTCAATAATATTATAGTAACTTTGGTGATAGATGGTGATTAGACTTACCATGGTGAGCATTTTGTAATGTATATAATTGTTGAATCACCATGGTCACCTCAAACTAATATACTATGTCAACTATATTTCAATTAAAACTTTTTAAAATATCATTACAAATTTTTTAAACTAATTGTCACTACATGGCTCATTCTTTTTCATTTATTAAGTAAATGGCCAAAAATTCATAGGAATAATTTCTGTAAATAGTGTGATATTTAGGGACACCTGGGTGGCTCAGTTGTTAAGTGTCTGCCTTTGGCTCAGGTCATGATCCCAGGGTCCTGGGATCGAGTCCTGTATCGGGCTCCTTGCTCAGCTGGGAGCCTGCTTCTCCCTCTGCCTGCCACTCCCCCTGCTTGTGCTCTCTCTCTGACAAATAAATAAATCTTAAAAAAAAATAGTGTGATATTTAGATCACAATTAAATTCTTTTGATAGATCATGTGGATTGAAATGAAGACAAACAACAGACTTTTTTTTTTTAATCCTAAATTATAGTAGCTTCACAAAAAAAAAAAAGTAGGAGACAAGAAAATTACCTCTTTACAGCTTTTAACAAAATTAAAAGCCTGAGTTTGCCGAAGGAATAGTTTCCAAATGGAGGGTGGTTCTTCTGGCTTGGACAATCTTGGTCTGTATACTGAGGACAATGGTTTCCTCTCATAACGAGATGCTCGTTCTTCAATTTGCTTCAGTCTTGCTTCCCATTTTCTCTCCATTGGTTTAGAAGTTACGGGAAAGTAAATTGTATCCCATGTAAGATTTCTGCAGTTAGTACTAAAACAAAAAAGGACATCAATTTCTTTGTTCAGAATATATTTTTTTGGTAAAACTTCAAAACCCATTTCGTAATGGTTATTTCCTTAACTGCCTTTATATATAATATATATTATGTATATATATACTATGTATATACGTATATTATATAACATATATACTATGTGTATATATGTACTATATATATATGTGTATATATAGTTTTGCATGGAGTTTTAATGTGAAGTAAGAATGGGGCTAGTTATCAGGTAGCTTTAGATCTTGGCTCTTCCATCTAACAGTACTATGATTTTAGAAGCACCCTAAGCCTTACCTGCAAAATGGGGATCAATGTCATCCTGAACACTTTATGTAATTATCATGAGGATAAATGTGATAGGATGTAAGAAAACGTTTTGTAAATTACAAAGCCTCATGTAAACATAAGTGGTTTTTGTATCATTATGGTTTTTATTAGAACCACGTTATTGCATCAAGCACTATCTATCTTGCCCAAGTAGTGCTATTACGTTGGCCATCACTCTTGTGCTGTTTCTTAGCACAGAGTTCATTTCTAGACACCACTGTGCAGTTCCCTTTTCTTCTGTTTCTATCCATTGCTCTTCTTTTGTCCCAACACGATAGTTAGTTGGGAGAACAATTCAGTGTATAAATGCGAACTGCAATATTGGTTAGTTTTGGTTTATGTTAATCATAAGCATGTTTAAAGATAGGAATAAACACATTTTAACCTGTGTCTGTTAATTTAAGGACTGTATTTTTGTCATTAGTCAATGTGAAATAGCAGTCTTTTAATCCTTGTTTATTAATGACATGTGTTTTTTGTTTGCACACAATATTTCCATGTTAGCCAGGCCAGGGTAAGGGGGCCAGGAAACACTTTTATGATTTGGGATTTTGGTTTACTTACAAAAAAAAAAAAAGGATCGCCTTTTAGAAGGGGAGAAAAGCTTGCATTGTAGGTAAGTAATGGCCACAAAATCTCTGCCATTCCTCCTATCAAGAGATGGTATCTGAGCCCACTCACTGATTCTGTACTTGGCCATGTGACTTGCTTTGGTCAATGCCGCATCAACAAGTGTGAAGCAAACCGAGGTGTAGTAAGTGCTTTTGAGCTGGATTTGGCTATGCCGGGAGTCCTGCCCTGAGACTGTCATGCTAGAACTCTGGTCTCACAGAGGATAAAAGGACATCAGGAGAAGAATCAAATTACCCCAGCTAACAGCCAAGACCAACTAACTCTCAGGTATATTGAGTTCAGATGTTTTGGATCATCCAGACATCTGAATTCAATGCCTGAGTAAGCCTGAGTGAGTTCAGGTGACATCTGCCAAAGACCTGGCCAGTCAACCCATAGAACTGTAAGAAAAAATTAACTTGTCTTAAGCCAAGAAGTTTTGGTCTGGTTTTTCATATAGAAATCGATAGCTGATGTAGTCTCCCTCTTCTTTAGTATCATCTTCATTAGTAATATCATAATTTATGTAGAAAACACATATAATAGTTTTTTAAAGTGAAATAACAACATGTACTAAAGCATTCAAGGGAAAAATTCCTATTTACCTCTGGCAATGCCTTTCCAGTACTTACGCTTATCGAGTCGATAAATATTCTCTTGAATTTTTGCAGAAAACTTTGCAACACAAACTCAATGGCAACTGATATATTCCCGGGAAGGAAAAACAGGTTCATCCTAAAAGACTGAGATGGTAGAATATCATGACACTGTTAGATTTCACATTGGACTTCAAACATATCAGACCCAAGAAAGATTATTGTTACACCTGATCCACATGAAAATTATGTTTTATAAACCAAGAAACAAACATAATTCTAAAGGTATCAATATAATCTTCATAACAGATATGCCTAGAAACAGAATACAATTTCACTGGTTTGAAGAGCTGGAATAATTTTTAATGAAATGGCTTTTTTCAATATAAAGTGACATAGGACTCCAGATTGCTAGATTCTGAGTATTCAGTTTATTTTAATCTGCTTCGCATACAGATAAAAATCCTTTACATTTAGACAACCTAAGTGAGAAACTGACTTTCTTCTATGAAATGTACTAACTTTTAATAAAGCCCACTGATTACTTAATGAAGAAAATAAACACAGAATGCAGTTAGACAGGATTTGTAGCTCTAGTACCTAGCCAGTAACTGACAGAATAACCATGTGAATGTTCACACTTAGTGACACGGACATCAGGAAAACTTTTGATTTTGTAAAAAAAAAAAAAAAAAAATCCAATATTTTTTATGTACACCATACATGAAAGTCATGGAGACACAATGGAAAACCAGTCTGACACTTACCAGACTGAAGAAACCACAATGTCAACAGAGGAAAAAGAGGAATTCAATATATGTTGTGCTCTCATGTTCTCTGCACAGTTCAAAAATTTTAACAGCTGGGTTGAGGGTCAGAAGACAACTGGGGGCTGGACTACTGGCGCAGGAGGGTTGAATGACAAAAGCAAAGGAAATGGAGACAAGGAAGGCATCTGGCATTCTGGTTTGGGACTATCGTATTCCTCATCCCTACCCCCTGGGATAAGAAATAGGTCACCATTTTAGAAATGCTTTTAATTCCTGGTAGGGAAGGACTGCTGTCTTTCTTTTATATAACTGTACATCAAAAACCCCTTTTCACACAGGGGCCGTAACTATTTTTGGTAAGTTTCCAAGTTCCAAAGAAAAATATTTGTTGTATTTTAAAATAATAGGTTTAAGAGCTCTATTATTTATTTCTTCACATTGCACCACAATGTTAATTTCTTTCTTTTTTTTTTAAATTAAGCTCTATGCCCAATGTGGGGCCTGAACTCATGACCAAAAGGTCAAGAATCACATGGTCTACCCACTGAGCCAGCCAGGCGCCCCCCTCCCCCACCCCGCCCACAATGTTATTTCTTAACATTGTGTTTAACCATGGTCAATACTGATTTTACAACTAAAGGTGGTCAGGCTAGAAAAAAGGCTGGCTTAGTCCTTTTAGAGGAACTGTAGTGGGAGAAGAGGCAGAGGGAAGGAGGAAGAGAGATGACACAGCCAGCCAACCTCAGTAGCCCTGGTTTCCCTAGGTTTTGCCTAGACTTGCCCAGCTCAGACACTTGAAAGCTTGAGTCCCAGGACCAGCTGGAATAGACAGCACATGCTTCATGATTCCTGGCCTCTAGGGAAAGCTTCTTTCCTCTTTTGTCTATCACAAGTCAACTCCTCTTTCCTCTGCCCTGAGAACAGATTCATCAGTATTTTGTGCTTTCTGGCATATATGTTCAGTGCCAGTATTTAGTCATGCTCTGGTATTTGGCAATATATATATTTTTTTCTTAAAAAGATTTTACTTATTTATTTGAGAGAGAGTGAAAGCGAGAGAGATCACAGAGGGAGAGGCAGACTCCAGGCCGAGCGGAGAGCCGGATGTGGGACTCCATCCCAGGACCCCGGGATCACAACCCGAGTCGAAAGCAGATGCTTAACCAACTGAGCCACCCAGGCGCTCCTGGCAATGTTTTCTTTCTTTTTTTTTTTTTAAGATTTTATTTATTTATTTGACAGAGAGAGATACAGCGAGAGAAGGAACACAAGCAGGGGGAGTGGGAGAGGGAGAAACAGGCTTCCTGCCGAGCAGGAAGCCCGATGTGGGGCTCGATCCCAGGACCCTGGGATCATGACCTGAGCCAAAGGCAGACGCTTAACAACTGAGCCACCCAGGAGCCCCCTGGCAATGTTTTCTTAACATAATCCCCTTTATGGCCTCTTGGAATACATTTGTACTATTTCTCCCACTGCTAGAATAGTCATAATAAAGTATGTGATTAAAATTTATTTATAGTATTACTGCTATATAAGAGTACATTCCAGATGAGCACATTCACCTTTTCCACTTCGGTCATTTTGCCTCTCAGTGCTTGAACAGAAGCAACTCATAATTTCCCAGAAATCTCCTGTAAGAGATAAAAAAACCTACAGTGATCTATTGTTCTTTTCCAGTTCCCCCCTTCTACCATCCCCACTGGATCCCCCATCCAAATAGCCTAACTCTCTGCCAGGCTAATCACCCTTAAAACCAGATTTGTAACTTTCCATAGCAACACTCATTAATGATTCAGAACATCACTCAATTCACACTTTGGCTTACCTCAAGAAATCCAAACTCCCTCGAGAATCTAGAGCAGATTCTAAACCACTTTACAGTCTCCAGAATCGAAACTACTTAATCATTTTATTTCTTATTGTTCAGGCATCTCACCAACTGAATGATAAGGACCACGTCCTGTCCCTGGCCCACTACAATCACCCTCTTGCATATATATTCCTCTTACCTGGAATGCCTCACTTGCCTCTCCCTCTTCCAGGCCCAGATCAAAGTCGGCCACCTCTGAGACAATTCTGTAAAAAGAAATTAACTGGATTCAGTCAGAAGACATCGCCTCTAGCCAACCCTTTTACTATGTTAAAGTTTCACTAGACTAATTAGTATAATTTACAGGAAAACAGAAAACCACTGCTGCTGCTTTAACTGAAGTATCATTTTAGTAAGAGAGTTTAGCACAGGAAGGGGTGTGGGCATCACAATGGGGTGATAGGATCTGTGCAACCATACTAGCACCTTCCTTATGAAGAACTGCACGCTGAACCACTGGTAGGGTTCGGAGGGGGTCCTAGTCTTCAGTTTTACCGCAGCAGAAAAAAGCCTGCCAAACACTGGTCCTCTCTCAGTTTGGGAGGGATTAAGAAAGGCCCAAGTGTTCTTCTTGGGATGCAAATCTAACTCCGGTAATTCTTTTAGCAAGAGCAAATGACTTAACTTTCTTAAACCCGTGCAGGGATTGGGATTCCTACCTCCAGGAGTTGTTGAAAGGATAAAATAAGAAAATGTGCTGCGAAAAATGTACTAAGCACTCAACAAAGGGCTGCCATATATATATTATATGTATATATAATATATATATATAACGACGTCTATTTATGGACACACTACGGCCCCTGACTTATACCCGAATAGACAGAAATGTTGGGGGCAGGCTGGTTCTTAACGTGGGAATCCCTGACTTAGAAGGATGCCCTGAACCTCTTGAAGTTTGATGCAGAATTTCGCGCTCGATTGTGTTGATACATTCTGCGAAAACGACTCCTTGTTTGCATCAGGGTCTGAACGTATTCGTGAACCAAAACAGGCGGGGAAGCAGTAGCGCAGGGAAGGAGGACTTAGGGGCAGGGAACTGGGGGTGAGCCAAGGAAAGGCCTCAGGCACCAGAGGAGAAGTAGAGATTACCAGCGCGGGTCGCGGCCTGCTCCCCTTCCTCCGGGAGGTCTGAGTGGGCGTCAGGCCCGCCTTTGACTCCCTCCTCTCTGCTCCCTGGGCCTCGCGAGGCGTTCACGCGTCCCTCCTTTTGCTTTCAGAAGCCCGCGCCGCCAGCGGAAACCCGCGGGTTCTCACTTGCAGGCGGGACCAGTCTTCAAACCAAGCGCAAGGACGAGGCCAGAGCGCGGGGAGGGCGTGCCGACAGGAAGGGACGCTCAGGCCTATGAGGGAGCGGCAAGGGGCGGCGGGGGCGGGGAGAAGAGTGCGCAGGGCCTATGAGGGGGCGGCTGGGGCGGCGGGGGCGGGGAGAAGAGTGCGCAGGGCCTATGAGGGGGCGGCTGGGGCGACGGGGGGCGGGGAGAGGAGTGCGCCGTCCTTTGAGGGAGCAGCATGGGGCGGCGGGGGCGGGGAGAGGAGTGCGCCGGGCCTATGAGGCAGCGGCGTAGGGGCGGCGGGAGCGGGAGAGCGCTGGGGCTGGAGGGACAGGTCCTCGCCGGGACGAGAGCGCGGGGGCGGGCCCGGGGCGGGGCTAGCGGGGGCGGGGCCTCCCGGGAGCACACCTTTTAGGGCTGCGGGCTGGGGCCTGCGGTTTGGGAAGTCTAACCGGTGCGAGAGGAGTCGTGGCTGTTTGGAGGCTGTGCGGTGAGTGCTGCCATCCGCCCTTCCCGCAGCGGCCCCGTCAACCCTGGGCCGCTCTTTTCATCCTCCCAAGCCCTGCGCCCGCCCCGGCACCCTGCCCCGGCCTGCAGCTGTTCCGGGGAGGAGGACGTGGGCACGGTCCTTGCGGCGGATCCTTTGTTATCGCACCAAGACGGGTGCGAGAACTTGCACTGAAGCCTGCATAGCGAGAGACCCGAGGCGGGTGGGGGACACCAGGGGATGTGGAGGCCAGGGAACGGAGATCTGGCTGGAGATGCGGAGCCCGGAGGACTGGAGGATCGAGAGGCCGGTCCGGGAGCGTCGAGGCCGGATGGCAGGAGAGTCTGGACCCGGGGGTGGGAATAGGGGGTTGGAGCCGGAGCCGAAGCCGAAGGCAGCGGGGTGCTTGGGAAGTGAGAGTGGCCGGGACCTTGGGCTGACGTTTGGATCGGGAAGAGTGGAGCGGATGATCGGCGCCAAAAAACGGTGCCCCGAGAGGGCTGGAGGCAAGCCTGGTGCTGCTGAGAGGCGCGGACTGATCCTCCTATTACTGGAAGAGGGTTTAGTCTCTGCTGCTTTCTCTGTCGGGTCTAGATTTTTTCGGGTTGACTGTGTGGCTCAATTTTCCAGAGAAGTAAATTTCAAGCATTGAATTCTATTTCCTTTTCAGACCTGCAGGCTTCCTTGAATCCTTGCAGCTCTTCCCTGTGATTTAGTATCTGTAGCCAAAGTCACCTAGGAGCCGCTTTGAGATCCCCTCAGGGCATGTTGAAAAGCGTGCCTTTCTCACACTTTGTCACTCTTGATTTCAGTGGGTCTGTTCTCAAGCCATGCAGAAGCTGCCTATGTCCCTGTACTTAGTAAGTGGCATCCAAGCCCCAAACCAGCCTTCTCAGCTACCTCTCCCTGTTCCTTCCCCAGTTAGCCATCAAGCCACCTGGACCTCCTAAATACCCATGAGCTCTGTCCACTTCTCTCCATTTTTGAGAACCACCCTAGGCTCTCACCTAGCTGCAGCAGTCCTCATTGGCCTCCATACTTCCAGACCCGTCCCCCTGCCCTCCATTCCATTCTTCACAGCACAAGCTGAGTGATCTTTATAAAATAGAATTCTAGAAGGCTGTTCCTTTGCCCATAGGACAAACCCAATCCCTTAACAAGGCTAACAAAGCCAAGCCTAGTTTGGCGCCGTGGTCCCCTCCCCATCTTATCTTTCGTTATACCACCATTTCACTTACTGAACAGCCAGGCTGATCTTCATACCTGTTCTCTTCCTGGAACACTCTGCATTCCCTCTCTCCCTTCATTACATCACATTTGCTTGAGGAACTCCCACTTAGGTTTCTGTTCTCATTAAGTACTTCAAGGTTAAGTTTTCTATGATGAGTTCCTTTTGCATCCTGCATTCCATAAAAAGCAAATGGCATATGCTTTGCAGTTGCTTGTTTACTTCCCTACTATCTTCCCTACTAGTCTGTAAGCAAATTCCATGAGGGACTATGTTTATCTTGTTACCTTGTTGTTCCTTATTGTTTTTTCCCGTATATCGGGCTTGGCACAAGTAATGGCCATACTACAGCATTATGCTTTTTAATAATTATGCCCTATCTGAAAAACTAAACCTATTTTAGGTTTACTTAGCAAATTATAATTAAAAGATGTGAATTAGAAAGAAATGGCAGAAGTGAAATATGGAGTTGCTGTGACAATATGAATATGCAGGATAGTAACAGGTGCTAAGCAAAGTGGTTAGACCAGCCTGCATCAAAATGTGCTCAGCCACTTTGTGTTGGAGTTAGATGATCTCCAAGAATGAAATGTAAAGCTTAAGTCATCCCTGTCACAACCTGATGTTGGAGCTTTGGTTTTGCCTTGCTCTTTTGCAAAAGAAGGCTTTGAAAGTTAGAATGTGTTTTATTTATTTATTTATTTATTTATTAAGATTTTATTTATTTATTTGAGAAAGTCAGAGATAGTGACAGAGAGCATGAGTGGGGAGGAGAGGGAGAAGCAGGCTCCCCGCCGAGCAGGGAGCCCGATGCGGGGCTCGATCCCAGGACCCTGGGATCACGACCCGAGCCGAAGGCAGACGCTTAACCAACTGAGCCACCCAGGTGCCCCAAGTTAGAATGTGTTTTAATGAACGAACAATTTATTGGAGTGTGGCAATAAAACCTGTTCACAGTAAAACAACAACATTGTACCTAATTAAATCAGATTTGCTTTTGCTCTCTTTAAAAAAGGCCTTACTTCCTGCCATTTTAAGAGACTGACATGTTATCTGATACAGGCAATTACAATGTTTCTTTACTGTTTTGCTTTCAAACCCAATTTAACACAATCTACTGCTTCATCCCCCTTCAGTGCTAACAAGCAGTCTATTTTCATGTACGGCTTTAAAACAATTTTGGTGCCTACTATTAGATCTTTAAATTCTGCCTCAAATATGGGAAGCACTGGTGTTTGGGTCCCAAAAAAGAGGTGGGAATTTTTAGACTGTTAGATAATGTTTTGTACAGATGTAGCATATATAATGGAGGGGAACAGGTACTTTGTTGCCAGACCACTCAAGGCCAAGTCCCAAGGGTGCCACTTACCAGCTCATTCATAAATTAAGCATAAATCATATACACACCTCATAGGGTTGTTGTGAGGATAAAATGAGATGTCTGTTGACTATGCTTTGTAACTATATGATGTTATTTCTCTGCCTATTTCATTCTTGCCTGCAAATTGCTTATAGAGCTTTTCGAATTAGGGTAGAGTAAGATAAAATTCTCTGATCCCTACTGAGCACTGTGTGGCATCTGCCTTGTGGAGCCACTTTTGAAAAAGGGAGTACAGGTGTGAGTCCCACACAGGGATAGGATCCATGGCTCTAACCATCACTCCGGACACTCAGGTTTACTGCAGTACTCTGCACACAGTTCAGTAAATTATTACAGCGCAAATGACAAATGAATAAATACCAACTCAGACTTTTCCCAGTTTCAAACCTTCTCTGGTAGGCGGAATTTCTTTAATCAGGTGGCTGTAAACCAGAATCTCCTTCTACAGAGGAGTGGTCCTGAGCGGAAGGGAGGAGGCCCTGTAGGTTATCTGTAGTTTCTATAAATGGCATCCAAGATCCTTCATTCTACATTTATTTTATACAAAATATGGCTTTGGACAGTGGGGAACAATTTCAGCCTGTCTTCCTGGTCCTGGGGCCCTTCCAGAGAAAAGGAAAGAATGGTTTGATCTGTTTGTATGGCACCACTAAACTTTGTTCAGTTTACTCTGTATTTCATTTCACTTGCTGCTCAGTGTGTTTTCACCTTAATTACAAAGTACATATTAAGAGATTGACTACCAGGCTCAACGATATTGGTCCAATCACCAATATCCAATTTGGTGATTCTTCTAATTCCCCGGAGAAATTCAGAGACCAGATGGGAAAGAATTTCAATAAAACCTCTAGTACATTACAGCTGAAATCTGTTCTTATCCAAACTATTGTGAAAAGTCTGCTCTTTCTGTTTCACTTGCTGAATCTGGATATGTGACTGCTTTTAAGATTTTGTCCTCTCTAATAGGTCATAAATACAATCCTGATGTTTTTCAAGCTCTTTGGCAAAAGTATAGCCTTCCCAGAAGTCATGATGGAAAGGCTTCACCTTTACTTTACAGGCATATAGAAAATGTCTTAATAACATAAAACCAGATACTTTGCTTTTAGAAGTAGATTACCCAGTGGCATCAAAAACACCGTAAGTGTCATTCCTATTTTGTTCATTAATTACAGTAAGTGCACTTTATACTATTTCAGTGTCTCTGCTGTCAGTTTCTGTCATGTTATTTATGCTCTCTGTCTCATCTTAATTAGAGCTTCTAGGTTATGGATTTTAGTTTCCTTTATTGAAAGTAGAGAGACTATTACCCCTCCCATAAGGTAGTAAGTCATGTTGAGGAGTGGGACTCTGCCCTCGCAAGGCAGACAGATCCTGGTTTGAGTGCTGGCTCTGCCCCGTAAGTTACTTAACTGCTCTGAGCCTCAGTCAGCTGAACTGTAAAATGGGGATCATTATGTCTCAGACCATCACTGGAAGGACTAGCCAGAAACACATAAGTAAATAATAAATGCATACCTAAGTAAGCAAAAGTACCTTTTGGCTCAGAGTCTAGCCCAGACGAGACATCATCAAGAGGAACTATTGTTACGGGACACTTGTACACAACCCTCAAATCACATAAGACATTTTGATTCTTTGGCCTTTTCTCTGGCTATGTGTTCTGGTAAATCTTTACTTGTAATTTTTTTTTTTTTTTTTAGATAGATTCATGGAGATGATTCATAAGTGAGCAGTATTCATTCTGATGTCACATTTGGAGATTTCAAACCCTTTTGAGACCAGGCTTTATCCTTTACCTCAGTTTCCTATTAGGACAGGCCCTAGGAACAGCCTACTGCTGCGGGACAGGTTAGTGGAGTAGGAATCTGGCAAACTGTTGATACTAATTTAATATCTTATTTTGAAATCTTTACCATAGGCATGCTTTTAAACTATTCATTTTTAATAACA